TCAGTGAACCAACTCCGAAGCCCCTCCCCTCCACTGAGGTGCCCTGCTCAACAGTCACCTAATGTGGAGCACCCACAGGGACACTCCTCAAAGAAGAAGAGAAGGTTACTCACCTTGTGCAGTAACTGAGGTTCTTCGAGATGGTTGTCCCTGTGGGTGCTCCACTACCCCCCTCCTCCCCTATACTTCGGAGTTTCATGCCGATCCTCTGGGGAAGAGAAGAAACTGGGGGACAGTTGGCTGTGCATGCTAGGTAACCACTCCGAGCAGCGCGAGATGGCTGCCGTGTGTGCGTGGCCAACCGGGGCACTGCTACTACAAATCTCCAATTACAAGCGCAAGGCGCCAAAGCACTTAAAGTGGAGCACCCACGGACAACCATCTCAAAGAACCTCAGTTACTGCACCAGGTGAATAACGTCTCATTTTTCTTGAAGGCAGATGTTAAGAGGACTGTATTAATTATGCCACACTTGTGCTACTTTTAGAGTTATTTGAATTAGTTGGAAATCAGTACCAAAAGTAGCTCTTAAGAATATTATTAGTATTTCCAGTACTCAAAGCTGGTCATCATACAGATAACCAAAGCCTCTTAGGTTGAACAGAATACTAACATTGAACAAACCAATGCTTTGCATTAGAAGCATAATAAACAGAGTGACAGTATTCTGAGCCATAGTCCTTTGGTGAGGTGATTCAGCAGAATGTTGGTTATTCTGTTCATTTGGCACCTGAAATAAGTTGACATTGGTGGGAGCTATTGGGTGGTCAGTCCTTGAAAAGTAATTCACTTATTTAGGCTCCTAAATAAAGACTTGGGGTGTGTATACAGTGCAGTTAGACACCCATGGCTGGCCCGTGCCAGCTGACTCGGGCTTGCGAGGCTCAGGCTGCAGGGTGGTTTAATTGTGGTGTAGACATTCTGGCTCAGGCTGAAGCCCGAGCTGTTGGAACCTCTAATCTCGCAGGTTCCTAGAGCACTCCAGCCAAAGCCCAGATGTCTACACTGCAATTAAATTGTCCCGCAGCCTGAGCCCTGTGAGCCCAAGTCAGCTGGCATGGAGCAGCCGCAGGTTTTTAATTGCAGTATAGGCAAACCGTTAGGGGCCTAAGTTTGAAAAATACAATTTAATTCATTTTCATTGTTTTGTTTGAAAAACTGATTTGTTGTTTGAGGGGTGGAGGTTGGGGAAAGCAGATAAAAAGAGCAGTAGAAATAGTGCTTCTGCTCTGAATCAAGGAAGTAAGAGTAAGTGCCTGATGAATGTGTCAAAGAATCTTCTTACTAAGTGTTTTGTCAAACCTACGGTTTCTTTCTTCATTTGATATCATGGAGCCTGATAACTATATCCATGGTAAATAAAAAAATCACTAGTTCAATAAGATTTTAGACTTCTTTTTCTAAGAAGTTTATACTGGTGAAAACTTTAAAACAGATGCCTTCTGTCCTGTTTCCATTCCTCTCCCTCAAAAAAGAAAACAAAACAAAAACCAGTCAGGTTTAAATCAGTCAGACATTCATCATCTTTCATTGGTTCATTACTTTTCCAACTATATTTTTTGCTTATTTAATAGCTATGGCCTGTAGCCATATCACCCCAAGCTGTGATCTCAGATACAAAGAGCTAAGCACAGTCAGCCGGAATCAGCAATTGGATAGGAGACTACTAGGGAAAGCTTAGATACAGCAGGAAGTGATATTGGTGATTCAGTGGATGGCACTCTTTCCTCTGAGCTATACAGAATTAATGGATGTGATATTAAAGGCCTTTATGCTGCTGAAGGTGCATTATTTAAGATGAGACTTAGACATAGTAAGTCCTGCCCATATGTGGTAATTACAGTTCCCCCCGACCCTTTTTGGTGGAGTAAAGCACTCTAGACACCTGGTCATATTGTAACTTGAGGAAATTTCATTCTGCCTTCTTATGTTTCCATACTGCATTTTCCTTTGAAATATTATTCTCTTCTTTCTGCCCTAAACTAGTATGCTCTGTTGCTGTTTGTTGTTAAACCATTGCCACATTTCACCCCAAGAGATGGGTAAAATGGTTACTTTGAAGCATTTGTACAATCAGTACGCCTTGTAAAGTGCTTTGGTTTCTATCTAGATGAAAGATGCTATGTAAATGTGAGATCATTCATATTGGTGTCTAAATAAGGTCTTCCTTCTTCCTTGTCTGATTCTGTACTGAAGTCATAGTAGTGAAATTTGTGCTATCCCATTCATTTCCACAGCAAAAAATTGGGTCCAAAACATTTTTTGACCTGATTGAAGCGTGAAGCAGAATAGGAAACTGGAATGTGAACAAGAACCAGTTTATTCCATAACACACAAAATTAATTTCAAAGCGATTACAGAAAATTATGGGCAAAAAGACATTATTTTGGTTCATTCCAGTGTGCAGGTCTGTCTTTAAAGGATTTTTACTGTGGCAGCTTTGCCTTTCCTCACAGCAGGACAGAATTTGTACTTTGGAAAATAGCATTCCTTCCTGAAATATGGTATTTCTTCCTGATGTTCCAGGATATTATTAACGGGATTTGCATCCTTTCACCCTCGAATCATTGGTTCGAATTGGAACTGTCAGCTGTGAGGAGGAAGGAGGATATTTGTGTTTCAGCTGCCTAAGAAGCAAACTGAAAAAATGCCCATTGTGTCCTTCCTCCCCAAGCATGGCTGCTGAGTTTCTTAGGTTGCTGTGAAGTTTCACTTTCATGTGAAAAGGTAAATTGGTTGACTTTCAAGTGAAAGTAATTTTCAAATTGGCCCAGCTGATTGGAAGCCATGCTGGGGGAGGGAAGCAGCAGAGGGGACTTGGTTTCTTAAGTTCAGCCGCCAGTGCTTCTCAAGCAGCTGAACTTCAAAGGGGAACTCTCCTTTCCTCCCATTCCCTTCAGCCTACTCACAGCTCTTCAGAAGTGGTTGAGCTGCTTTAAATTCTGAAAAGGTATCCCACAAAGCATTCTGTGCTTCCAATTCAGTTGATGTAAATTGAAAACATTAGCAGGTGGACTTCAGAATTTTTCATTCTGGGGAGAGAGATGGCCACCTGCATTCACTGCCTTTCCAGCTAAAATCTTAGTATTTTTAAATGCGTGGAAGGAGGTCTATAATCTTTTCCCCTCTTCCTATTTGACCCTTTCACTTATGTAAAGGATGTAATGGGTTATGAGAGAGACAGTTTAGATTATCATTCCATAGGTGTTGATGCTTTAACAATGAAAAAGCCCTGCCAGACTGTAGACTCAGTCAAAAAGCACAACCGCTCAATCAGAATTTTGCTTTCAGCAGTCAGTGTCCAAAGTGATAAATATTATGATTTTCAGATAAGTACAAAAAATGTTAATGGGTCGACAATGTAAAAGAACATACTACAAAGCTAGATTATACTAATACACATTTGGAATGTTATTTTTGGAAACAAAAGTGCTAGTATGACGCCTCAAAGCTTTAATAAATAGGTATTGATTATGTGAGGAGAAAGGGAGGGAGAGGTTTGAGCTACCAGCTTGTCCCACAGCAGCACCATCCATTCTGAAATTGTCTAATTAGTCACTGGTTTTAAAAGTGGCTTTATTTTTGGTACTATCAAGAGGATGATTTCTAGAACTGAAACGTCTTTGCAACTATAAAGAGAGCTTTAATTTAAAATGAAAACATTGATGTGAACTTACTGGAGCATCATGTGGTAGCAATGTGTACTTGGTGCCTCTCAGTTGAAAGCTCTCAAACTGCTTGCCAAACTAAAATTCAAGCATCTGTAGAGTTCACAATAATAGAAGATGGAATTTTGGCTAAAGACAGAGAGAGACAAAACCACTATTCAAGAAAATGGAATCTTCACTGGCTACCCAGGTAGAAGGGACAGACCCTTTGTTTCATCCAAAAAGTAGTATATAATCTGACAGACACATTATGTACCTGACTAAATTAATCATTAACAGAGAAACATATCAAACTGCCTTCAAAAAATTAATTTTTGAGTTATTACATTTTGGATCAAATGGTCTAAATTATTCTGGGATATAATGAACCATGTTTATCCCTTCAAAAGTACTATAATGTTGCTTGAGTTTAAAACTGAAGTACCACTGACTTCTAAAATAATGGTTTTCATTTATGACATACACCTTGGGAATATGAACACATAAAAGTACAACCATTGGAAGCATTTAAAGATGTATTTGGAAATGCTGTGAGCTAAAACAAATTGCTTATCAATTAAAGCACTTTGTCAAATGAAGCAAACAATATTGGTTTTGAAAGTTAATCATGAATTTTATTATAAGTTATAGAAGGGGTTCATCTTCACTTTAGAAACAGTTAAGATGTTCTTCAATTTTATTCTCTTTAATTTTAGCGAAATCACGTTTATCTACAGCAGTTACCTAGAGATCACTGAAACTGTATTAATATACTCTTGGTGGCACTGTTCACATTACAATATTTGTGAAAGTAAATATTTAAAAACTACTTAATCTGCTTTTGGAAGTACTTCTGCTGGTGGTGACATTTTAATAAATTGTGGTAGAAATTTATTTTGTCCCTGTGATAATCTTTTGTGTGACAACTCCACATTCGTTATACAGGTGACTGTATAAAGTATGACAGAAGTGTGCTTTTCGGAAAGGTATTGTTCTTTGTGCATATTATTTTAAAATGTCCTCTGGATAAATAACATTTTGATTAATTTAGCTATAGTAAGGTTCTAATCTGTTTGTTAGCATTCGATAGTGTGCCCCATTTTAAAAATCTACACAGAAAACAGTTTTTCTGCATGATAATTTATCAGGCTGAATAAAACTGCTCTGCATGAAATTTTACAGTGGCTTGATATTAGTATGGGGTATAGCTCTATGTAATCCTACTAGATTTTCTCCAAAAGAATCTACATTAAGGGTCAGTTCCTTCTTTCTTTATATACTTTAATGATAACATTTTTGCAATTTAGGTATGTGAGGAAATATTTTCTAATAATGTTTTCTTTCCCACAATAGGATACAACAAGTATAGAAAAAATGTCAAACTGTTGTGAAGAAATGTAAGTACAACATAAAGAACTAGTAAAGTTTAAAAACTGTATGTGTATGAAAGAAAACTGAAGGCACTGGTAATAGTTTTTGCATGCTACCATGCTTTTGTTTCTTTTCTGTAGCAGTAGTTCACTATTTTTATACTTGTTTTTATATAAAATAGCTACAGATTATTCTTCTTCCCTGCCTATCTAAAGCAAGCAAAACTATATTTTGTCTCTAAAGCACAGATCAAAAGACACTTGCTACTGTGTTGTTGACATGTATTTAATTGCTCCCAAGAAATTTCCTCCCCTTCAGAAGTTGCCTGTAGTTGATTGATTGACACAGATTCAGTTTCTCCTATCCAAAGTTAAATCTCAGCTGCATGTCATAATGAAAGAAAAGCTGTATTTGTGATGCTGGGACACAATTCATCAGAGTCCAGTAATGGATCCCCAGCCAATCTATATTGTTCTAGCTGACTGAAGTGCACCATGGGAGTGCTGTCTTTCACTAATAATGCTGTCTTCTGTAGATCGAGGCCCCGAAAGCCATGGCAGCAGACCTTCTCAGAAGTTTTTGGCACTCGCTGGAAGATCCTGTGGTTTATTCCTTTCAGGCAGAGGCAACCACTGCGAATTCCCTACCACTTTGCCAATCATGTCTAAACAGATGGATGGTGGGCACAGATGGGTCCTCCATGCTGGAAGTGTGTAACAGGTTTTATGATAATAGAACTATGACAGTCTTCAAGTCAATTAAAATCCACCCACCAATCTTAGACATCATAATGTGCCCCAGGCTTTATTTTAATAGTGATCTTGATTCTGTTGTGGGATTAGTACTAGTTCTAAGTTTAAGTTTAAGGCATATTTACTTTCAAATTATTTTTCCAGAGGAAATTCTTGTGTGTTTGAGGTTAATAACAAAAACATAAATGATTGAGATACAATGTTACCCAATTTTGTTTTGATACTGGATATTTTGATTTTTTTTTTTTTAAGGAAACACTGAAGTTTACATAGATTAATAGACTTCAAACAAAGTGTCTCATTTTACATTTAATTTTTTAGTATTTTTTATCAGTAGATTTATCTAGATTATGTAAAGGTCTTTTTCTGCTAATTGTGTTTAAAATTCTCTAATGTCGTCTTTTATTTATGATGCATGATATTAATCATGCAGTACAGCACTGGAAAAAGGTGGTATTTTAACAGAAGCAGACTTTTTCCTAAACTTTTTCCAGAAGTTTTTTTAATATATAAAGGGAGATCTTATATCTTATATTCTCACTTTTGTAAAAATGTAGTCTTAATACAATAAGTTATTGTCCCTGTGTCAGTAAAAGCTATGAGAGCAAACACCCTAGGGCAAACTATGCAGATATAAAGCATGTTTTTCCCTTTTCTCCACATAGATTTCCTTGTAACTTGCAATAATTCCACATATAATCCATATGGTACGAATATTAGAGTACATACACTTTAAAAATGCAGGTTTAATCAGTCAATATAAGGTATCATGTATGAATATACAAAGTAGTGTGTGGTCACTAAAGTTATACTTAACATTTTGTTTTGGTTAGTCACTACTAGAACTAGAATTAGGATTACTTTTCAGGTGTTTATGTATAATGGGCAATGTGTATGGAATATACTTCTTTAGTATTTTATTTATATGTAAATATTGATGTTATAGACAAGCATTAATTTCTATGTAAACAGGGTAATTGAACTGCACTAACTTCCTCTTGTGTATTTTGTGGACAGGAGACCATTTTGCTCTTTTTCTGGGATAGGAGGGTTGCTTCTTATTAGAAGTAGTTAACAAGAAATGTTAACCTTAAGATTAGAGCTGGTCAAATAGTAAACTGATTCACAAATAGAAGTATTGCCTTTGTTTTGCTATGATTTAGAGCACTGTGTTATTTGTTATTCATGTATGTCTCAACAATTGTCAGGTATTTGGGAATCTTGAAAGTTTCATGAATTTTCACAAGGATAAAATTCATAGTTTGTGTTGCTCACTATTCTGCGTAAAAAGTTTATCATCCAGACCAAGAGCAGAAACAACAGCATGCATATGGTGACTACCATTCAAATTGAATAACAAATAGTGAATAGTCAAAGCAAACAAGACATAAGCTGAAAATTATTTATCTCAGGCTATTTGGGATTTCTAGCATTCTGAGAGAAAGTTCCTTTCACTCAGTTTCTTTATGGGACAGTCTTATGGCTGATGTTTAAACCAAAGTTCAAAATGTCCAAGAGGTGATGAAAATGCTGATGTGGCCTTTGAAATTTACAAATGGGCACTGTATAAAGTAACTGCTGCATCTCCTTTAAGAAAAAGGAAGTCACCCATTGTATCCTCTGTGACACTCTGGATGGAAATTAAGTCGTTTTCATTCTGCTTAAATGTGTTTTGCAAAACACATGTATATAAATATAGGATTGGGATTTTTTTTTTTTTAACTTTTCTTGATAATGAATTAGTGTAGTTTGCAGGTTGTATCATTTAAAATCACTCTTTCTCAACTACCAGTCTGTAAAATGGCACCAGTCCCTGAGATCTGCCTGATACAGTTTAGGAAGGCAGCAAGCTGGTCCCTGGTATCAAAAAGCTTGAGAAACCCTGATTTAAAGCACTGAAACTTTTGATTAAAGAGAAGATCAACGAGTTTAAATGTCCTTGACTCACTCATTGTGGGATGTACATTTATTCTTTCTGTGTTTCTTACATCTTCCTTTCAGTTACTTAACTTTGGGGAAAACACATTTGCAATACATAAATTGTTGCAGTATTGGACCGTGAATTGTAAACAGTGCATTTAAATTTGGTAAACTGTACCTATACAAGAAATGATGGGTGCATGAAATCTTTGCTATTTTTAATCTCTGTAATTAGTCTAAATCTAATATTCTATAACTATATTCCAAATAAGAGGAAATAACTAGATTGTGACCTTATCCTAAAATGACACGGATCTTGAGTTAAACATAAACAAAGTCTGAATGTATATAGTGTAAATTGTACATATGTATACACATATGCATATCTGCAGTTTACAAGATGTCCAATTTGGTTGATTAGCAGATGTTTTTACCTAGTATGATTTAGGACTCTGGCCTGTTGGGCTTGTGGTGAAGTTGACACATACTCAAGTCTTAGGGAGAGCCTTTCATCTCTTGTTCCCCAAGTGCCCTCTTTTGGCCAAGTCATGCAATGACATTAGCTCTTGTATTGGAGAAGAGATGATGTCCCTGCGGTTAGATTCATAGACTGCTGAGGCCTCATACTCAGACAATGGTGATTTGGAGCCATAACTGTTGGGGAGAATGGAAAAAATACACCCAAAGTACATGGTTTGCAGGAATCTGTATTCTTGCGACTCTAGCATCTATCCCAGATACAAAAGCACTGTTATTGTCTTGCCTCAGACAAAAATGAAACATGTCAGACCTCTTGCAAATCCCCAGAATAGGTCTGTGGTTTATATAACTCTACTCTTTTTGTCAAGTGAGGCAAAATATAGATTCCATAACCCAATACTGACTTTCCTTTTGAGCAATGTGTTGTACATTAAAGTTCAAAAATAAAGCATCAGAGTTACTGTCGCTGAAATACCAGATACTCATTCTCATGTTTCGTGATACACTCTTAAATTTTGTCTGTTTGACTGTTATGTGAGAATGGTAATGCCAAAGTGCAGAGGTTCTCCAATTTTTTCACAGTGATGGACTTTCTTTTAGACCTCTGCCTTTTCAGCCTCTGAATCCCATTCCCACACCTTGCCCACAGCAACTGTAATGTTCAGTTATACAGAATGATATTAGAACAGTAATGAGTGATCTGCTTCATTTTATACCCCATTTTGCATTTCTGCTGTTTATTTCTATAAAATCTTCAAATTTTGGGGGTCCCAATTTGAGACCTCCTTAAGGGGCTTGATTTTCAGAAAGTGCTGAGTAGCCATCTTTTGAAAATCAGGCCTCTTTAATGTGTCTGAAGTTAGGCACCCAAAATCACTTGTGATTTTTGAAAAATTAGGGCAAGAGCATTCTCATATTATTCACTTATTAAAGCAGTTGTTCTGAAATTGTGATCTCCAGAGCTGCTTCTGTCACAGATGTAAAGGATCTTCTAGCAGTCGTGTTACTAACATTTCTCCCTATAGCTGTAGCCCTGTGTTTGGGGCTCCTGTGGCCACTGTTCAGAGGATATATTTGACCACCTAATCTTAAAAACCCAAAACAAAAAAATCCTATTCATATTATACCCCATGTAGCTAGCTTTATTCGCTTCTATCAACTGCCTGTTTCTTTGGTGTCAATTCAATCCTGATTAAATTTGTGGATGATATCAAAATTGGAAGAGGGACAGAACCACATTTCAAAGTAGCCTGAAGAGATTAGAATGGTACTGGATATTAGCTGCTATTTATTTTCTTGCATTTGTTCCCTTTTTGTTGTATTGCGACTTTGGTCAGGTTTTAATATTAATCTACTCTTTTACTCTTTTGTAAGGCTCGTCTACACAGGGAAGTTAATTCAGATTAAAGTAGGATTTTATTAATTTTATGCAGAGTAGTTATTTCACTCCCTGTGTGAATTATTAATCTATAATGAGTGTCCACACAGGAGGTTAATCAGGAATAGCGACTCCAGAATAATTGCTCATATAGACAAGCTATAAAGTTCATAAACCTTGTGAATACGAACAGTACTAAGGGGTTGCTTACTAATAAGTACTTATTTCATTGACTGTTGTAGATATATTAACTATGAGACAATAATAGCTATATTTACTGCAGCATACAAATGGAAATCCAAGCTCTGAGAGTGCTCTGGAAACATTTTGTTTCCTTTTCAGCAACGGGATGTTGTGTGATGTAGTAGAAGTATGGTATCAGAAGGGTTAGTCGGAGTCTGAACAGTAAGGCGTTTGGAACATTAACATCTTTTGCCGTGAGCTAGTGGTTTCAAATTACACTTAAAACATCTCAACTATTAGCATGGGCATTTTGAAACTAAATGGAAGAAAGATTCCTAGTTAAATGTTGGCCAACAGCATATCTTTGGTGCTGGGCATTTAAATGAGTGTGCCACATCAGAATAATTTCTCTGTAAATGTTATTAAAAACAGTTCTGGCTGGCAGTGAAGTTAAGAAATATTCTCTTTTCACTCTTGGGTATGACATTACTAATCAGGTTTGCATTTCACTGAAGAAACAGGCAGCTGATAGACATGAATAAGAATAGCTACAAAGGATTTAAAACGATGGGCGCCAATGTAAGAACATGGATGGACGGACAGACTTTGCAGTAGGAAAACTCCTGTGCATCTTGGATCTTATAAGAGGATGAATGGGGGAGAAAGATTCATATCCAACAAAAAGAGAGATAGGATGGCTCCAAAAGAGTTGTTTGTTTCAGCTTTACTAAATTGTGAACAAGATGCAAACAGCCGGAACTATACCATTTATATGTACGCTGTATCCCTCTTGTCCATTTATCACCTTATAATACTTGACACAGGACTCTTTAAAAGCACATCTTGTTGCCCAGTTTTATTCAGTAAATATGCAAATGATATTTTTCTTCAGTAATGAGCAAAGAGTTGTTGCAGTTTGTATTGTAGCAAACCTCTAGTTATCTATGTAAGGAGCCTTGATCATGAAGATGGTACCTGAGCA